CTAAGGTCTAGTCGCTAACTATAAGAGAGCTTACCTCGTAAATACTATTCTTCAAGGAAGATAAAGATAGTGATATATTAGCCGGAGAAGCTAACTAGGAAGAGCTTAGCTAAAGTTACCGCCTTCCTAAAGTATAGGTATAGCCTACCTATACCTCCGAGTAGGCCTACTTAGAGGAGACGATTAAGGATCTTAAGGAGATTATTAGGTAACTTTAAGGAGAAGACCTAGAGAACTAGCGCCGAAAGACTACTATAGAGTAGGCGAACCCTAGATTTAAGGGCTAGAGTCTAAGTCTAGAGGGCCTTTTAAAATTTAAAGAACGCTTATATATTCCTACAGGAAGCAACCTAAGAACTAAATTATTAAGTATTTATTATAATAACCCCCTTATAAGCTATTTTAGTCGTTCCTAAATACTTAAACTAATAAAAAGGAAATATTACTAGCCGAATCTCTACCGAGACATTACCGAATACGTATAGGATTATTAGATCTACTAAGGCGTTATAGCAAAGAGATATAAGCTATATAGAGAATTGTAGTCCTTACTAATCCCTTCGCGTCCTTTTATAGAACTCTTAATAGATTTTATTACCGGGTTACTACTAATAATCTACTAAGACAAGGAAGTAGACTCGATTCTTATTATCATCGATAGGTTCACAAAATAGTCGCTATTCTTCCCCGTTTCTATAACGATTATAGCTATAGAACTTACCGAGCTATTCTATAATTAAGTCGAACTACGCTTTAGACTACCCGAGGGTATCGTTTTAGATCGTAGTCCTGTATTCACGAGCAAATTCTAGTCAAGCCTTTATTATATCTCTAAAGTATGCCTTAGGCTTTCGACTGCGTTTTACCCCTAGACCGATAGCTAAATAGAACGTATTAATTAAACCTTAGAATATTACCTTCGCTGCTTTATTTCCGATAACTAATTAATATAGGCAAATCTATTACAGTCAGCCGAATTCGTATATAATAATATAGTTAATATAACCACTAAACTATCTCCTTTCTAGGCCTTACTAGGCTACTTACTATCCTTCTAACACCGTTTCGAGGGCGAAACGGCTTTCGGAGAGGTCCTAGCAGTATCCGCACGAATTAAAAAACTTGAAGCCCTTCGTGAAAGATTGTAGGAAAACTAGCGAATCGCTAACGAAACCATGACGAAGGCCTCTCGAAACCTCCGTTCGACCAGGGTGAAAAGTCAACCCTATCACAGCTCCTCCGGGACGAAGGGGAAGTCCTCTATCAGCATCTCGAGCAGGAGGGCCGACGGGAAGTTAACCGGGTCTAGAACCGCAGGAATACCGGCCGCGGCGTTACTATTCGTAGGGTGGTTAATATTATTCAGGATAAAGCTATCCTGAGCGTCACGAATCGCCACCGAAATACTATCGACAAAGGCTAGCTTCGCTTAGGTCTATCTAACAAAACCGTTATCCCTAGGCAACAAGCGTAGTAGTTTTGTGAGATATAGGGCAAGATGCCTAAACCGCCATACAGGATTCATAAGGCCTATACAAGATGGCTAAATCTCTATAAGCTTTATGCTATACTATCAACACTACGGTCAATGACATCAAGTAAGACGTATACAACAGTATACGATCTACATCATCACTACGGTCAATGACACGATCTACATCATCACTACAGTCAATGACATCGTACAATCAAGTAACCACCGATCAAACAGCTACTGCATGAGATCACTATGTATCTAGATCTGTCTGCATGAGATCATCATGCATCATCTAGAACGATCACATGCAAGAGACAAGTTGATTATAAATATGCCCTGCTTTCTCTACCAAGATAATAATTATGTTGACAACATACAAGCAAGATTCAATACAATCAACCAAGCTTCAGTCCTACTTTACTTTTCTCTCATCTTGATAATTCTAAGCCGAATTGAACTTATCCTTCCTATTCAATCAAGAGGAAGAAAGATCAATCGATCTTATTTAATCATCTTTAATTTATCTTCCTCTTTACCAACCTGCACAGCATCGCTTGCTCACAAGTTTCTTAGAGCGGAAATCTTGCTAATCGCTAGGTAGGGCGTAAGGACTAGGGAGAACGATGTTAACTAGCTCGGAACGACGGGATACAAGAACAGCGTTATACGCGGGGGCGTGTTTCTACTAAAACCCTAGTTAAACTATATCGAAACCTATACCTATTTTTAATCTACCTTATTCTCCGTCTTGGTCCTAGTTAGCTAGTGCTCCTTCCGATAAGCTAGCTCCGTATTATCGAAGGCTCGGTAGAGATCTACTAGTGAATCGTTAATCTCTACCCGAACTTCCTCGGGATAGGGCTATTCATATTAGAGGCCGTCCTCGGGGTCTAGGTTCTCTAACTAGAAGTGCTTATAGGCCTACCGCACCACGGACGCTAAATCGTGGGCGTCGCCTAACAGGGCAGTCGACGCCTATAACTAGTTAGCTTAGCTCTCTTATACAGGATAGCGAAACGTATAGGAATATATATCGAGTTGCGGCCGGAATACTAGCGACACGCAACCGAAGCCTTAGTATCCAAAACGTAGTTAATATCGAGCGGGATATCTAGTATAGTGTCGAAGTTATCGTATAAGGTCCGTAGGTAGTATATACACTAGAAGTGTTTAGGCCGAATCGGCACCGAGAGTATAGCGCGGGATCGCCGAGGTATCGTGAGTGCTTCGGCAGCGTTTCGGGAATAAAGATTTGATAAAAAGTCGCGTTAAAAAGAGCTCAAGAGATAGGGGTTTGGGGAGGTTGCAGGAGAAAGAAAAGAAGAGGGGGAAAGGAAGATGGGATATAGGATATCAACAAAGAAAGAAGGCCCTCTTTGTTTACCACGCTCTTTGTTTGCTATAGCCAATTTTGTTTACCCCCCTAGGCTTTACCACCTTTTTCTGCCACCTGCCTGTTTATCGATTCCTGCCTGTTTGCCTGTTTGTTTACACCCTTATTGTATATGACTCCCTCGCTTGGGGCAAGCGAACTTAGAGGGAGGATAATTGTTATGATATTTTGCACTATAAGGCTATTCCTATGTTGAGGCCTTAGGCTTCAGGCCTCTAAGGATCACCAACTATGATATATTGGTTCGGTGATCTACCATCACCCTTTCCTTGCTGTTCCTACGGAGGATAGTCATCCGCTTCCCTGTATGTCTACCCCTCCTTCGAAAGAGGGGCTTACTGTATATAAGGCCCAGCAGTAAACGGGGCAAAGGGGCCCCCTAAGAAACAGTCTCTGTTATAATTTGACTTAGTGCTTTGCTCTCCTACCTAGTTGATAGGCTTTCTACCCTGCAAGTAGACTATATCTTTACAATATCCCTAGCGCGCAAAATCGCTAACGAAACGGCCGTATACCCTTTTTAATAGTGCAAAGCAGCTAATATCTAGCAGTTATAATAGATATAACGAATACGTAGGTATATAAAGTGGTATAATATCGTTTTCTGCGTATATTTAGTCGAATAGGGGTATAAGATAGCTACTATAGCCGTCAAGAATTAGTAGTCGATACTAGCCGCGTATACGCGAATTCGTATATAGGATAAAGTACTTCTCTAGCTAGCGTAGGCTAATCTTATTAGTAGTCTAGCCGTTCGTAGAGACCTTGATTCGCTAATCTCTTAGTAGATTATCGTTAAACCACTCTACGATAGCTACTTTGCCCTTAAAGATTACGTATAGCGGTAGGATATAGCTATCTACGTAGATAGATTCGATCGTAGTAACCTATTCGCGATTACCTAGCTGTAGAATCGATCTCCGACCGTAGTATTTAGCCCTAGTAACTACTTTCTACGAAGATATAAGGCCTATTATAAAGCCTATCTTATCGAAGTTGTAGATATCCTCCGCTTATATACCGTTCTCGTTAATCATGCTTTATACAGTAGTAAACTAGGCTCGTAGGGTCTTCGGGTCTTCGTTTAATACGCGCTGGTAGTCGTATCGCCTAGAGAAGCGTGTACGAAGCTCTTCGCGACGTTTAATAAATGTTAATAGCTAATTCTGGCTAATAATAGGCGACGGTTAGCTACCACGCGCAGCGAGTAGGATATTAGCTATCTCTCCTATAGTAGCTAGCCTAGGCGATACACCACGCGAATCTATAGATAAAATCTACTAGGTAAGCGAATCCTCTTCCAATTAGGTCAGTTTATGGCCATTTACGCGTGTATCACCGCGTGAGATTCGGCTATTAGCACGCGTATGTAGTGTAGTGTAGGAGATTTCGTATAGCCTACTAGCCGCGCGGAGAGATTTGAGGCGGCCATTTTTAATATCATCAAGGGCTAATAAGATCTTGCCCTCTTGATTGGCCAATTTCTGGGAGGATTCAGTGCGAATTGGTGGCATGGTAGTTAATTGAAGATAGTAGGTAAATAGGTTAATGCGATTTTACGCGTGGTGATCCGTTCGGTCGGGTGATCCGTTCGGCCGTGGATTACGTTACAGATAGGACTATGTACTCCACTAGATCCCACTCTAGATTTACCGAAACCACGGAGTAACTTCTCAGACTTCGAGTGCTCAGAGGGAAAATCCAGATCTTGGATAGTACCTCTGTAGTTGGTGTATTTAGGAACTATGGATGTTGTGAGAATATCAAATACATATCAATTTTCTCGTGGCTTAACAAGGTTACAGTACTAGCCTACAAGGTTTAGCTATGTATCCGATTCCTTCCGTCCCTTACGATCACTCATCTTCAGCGGCCCTATATCGTATTCACTCCGGAGAACGGATCATAATAGGGGTAAATTTAGCTCGAGCGCCACAGGAGCATCAATAATCTCGCTTGTCGAACGGTGTCACTGGCTACGCTTCCGCACGTCCTCATCCAGTTAGACGCATCTCGAGTGAAGCTTTCTCTCTCCCACGAAAGGATTTTGCCCGAGGTTCCTTCTACGCCCCGCGTCGGACGACTTGGAAGTCTCCAGAGGTGACCAGGATCACACATTCGAGTCATGCCATGTTCCGTTCAACACTGGCCGGGGGAATCCCCAGGTGCATCAAACCACACCCAGAAACGGATCTATCTTTGGACCAGATCAAGGAGGAAGTCAAGGGCTGGCTACTCTTTGTACAGGTATGTCTTTACAGAATCTTGTGTTTGCTAGCCACTAATTTGCAGTCAGGAAAATTGGGTTCCTGCAGCCAACACTGATTCTTCCAACAGCGGAAAATATGAGCTGAATCAAAGACGCCAGCTTATTGAAAAATGGGCATCGGCCACACAGGAACTTCGTGATGTGAACTCCACCGCGATCAAATCCTCAAAATTTACCAACTAATTATTCTCTTAAGTCACACCAATCGCGTGCGCCTATGCCCGAACGCCTTCAGTACCCAGCTCAAGCATTGGCACATATCCACGATACTCTTCAGCCAGGCGATACTAAGGGCCTGGTAGCTATCGCCCCTGTCGACGAGGCCCATGCTGCTAATCGGGCGCGATGGGTCAAATTCGCTATTCTGTTGTACAACTATGATATCGAAACCGGGCACTGTCTTCTCGATCGTCACATACCCTCAGAGGCTATCTTGAACCCAGAAACTACTACTAATCCTTCGGTGGAGGATTTTCTGTCCTATCTGGATTTGGAGACCGCAAGCTTCATCCATATCTATCTCACACATACTGGAACCGTACTCAACATCAGGTATAAAGGCCCATATATGCTTGTTGATGAAGAGGGTCTGAGAACTGGTCGTTTGACAATGGTCGAGTATGAAATCAACGGGACTGTGAAGGATACTCTTCACATCCGCCCGTTCAATATGCGAATGCCATACATAAACGCTTCGACGCTTGGGAAGGGTCTAGACGAGATCCGTTATGTTCAGGGTGCCTATACACACCAAAACCTGCCGTGAGTATTCTTGGGTCCTGCCTTTACAGACTAGTAGGACTAATACAAAATAATAGGCTTGACATGGACCTACCGATCATCGATATTCTCTGTCAAGCTAAGGCTGCTGACCAACTACCACAGACGATGGACTTATCTTACCGAGAGCAATGGATGGAGGATGTCGAGCTTTATGCTCCGGGCTATCTGGCCCTCGAGGCTGACGGGCGTGCGGGAGAGTATTCCCTACACCGTCTCACTGATCCAGAATCCGTGGACATGACCAGAAAAACGATTTGGAACAGGCTACAGGCCAACCCGAATCTCTTTGCCCCCAATTTCCAGTTCCTAGGTTAGTTTCGAACGTATCATTATCTTCACGATGCCTTTTTAAACCGATGTTCCAGACTGTTCTATATGTTTGTATTTCTCTTCTCTAGTACATACGGAATGGTTAAATAGAATAACGAGATCCTCTTCCTCGGTTGAAGGACACAATTTCCTCATGTTATCACACAAAAGTCGATTCCACATATTAGCCGAGATTGTCATCACACAGCGAGAGAGCCGTGTACCTATAGCTGTTATTTTGAGTAGCCGCTATACCACTATCACGGCTCAGGAAAGGTACAAGCAGCTATTTATATCTTAGGTAAAGGCCAGTCAAAGCATAGCTAGAGGTTTTAGTCGGTTCGAGGCGATTTTTCAAGGTGATCTTAAAACGTATAATGCGGTTGAAGGTTTTTATCCGGAATAGCCACCGTGAAGGGAAGGGCTAAAGCAAGACTTAAATTCAACCTGACTAGGCCACGAACCGTGTATAGCTGGTGAGTTAGTTGGTTAGTTTCATTTACCCTAACGGTATTCCCTCGCGCTATTCCCTCGCAGGATTCCCTTACGCTATTCCCTCGCGCTATTCCCTTGCAATACTCCCTCGCGGTATTCCCTCGCAGGATTCCCTCGCGCTATTCCCTCGCAATACTCCCTCGCGCTATTCCCTCGCAATACTCCCTCGCGGTATTCCCTCGCAGGATTCCCTTACGCTATTCCCTCGCGCTAATCCCTCGTGCTATTCCCTTATAGTATTTCCTTATAATATATCTTCCTAAGATATCTCCTACTAATATTAACTAGTCTAATCTTAAAAGATATATATAATCTCTAGTCTTTTAGGATAATACCTCTTGATATACTAATAATAGGTTCTCTACTATCTCTACTAGTTATTTAAGTATAATAGTAATTAGGTCTTAGTATTACGAAGTCCTTACGCAATAACGCTAATGCGGGAGGAGAAGGACACTAAGACCTAATTAACTTGGATTAGTCAGCAAGGATCAGATTGGATAACGTTAACTACAAGGGGACGTTATCACGTTATAAAGGACACAAGCAATCACGTAACGCGGTATAGTATAGTATATGATAGATATAGCACATAATATAATCGGAATATAGTATACGATATAATCCGATTATAGCGCACGATCGGACGGACTAGATATATAAGGATACTTATTTAGTATATATATATTTAGTCCTTCGCGATTAATTATATATTGTTACTTAGTTACTATATTTAGTACTTTACGCTTTATAGTTTACCTCTGTGATCCTAAGGGTAGATGGGGCATGCCCTTCTAAGTATGGTAAAAGAGAGACTATATACACATGCGCGGCCGGACGGGGCCTCACGTGACCAGAGACCGAATGGGGCCTCACGTGACCGAAAGTGGCCGGAAGGGGTCAGTGGGTCAGGCCCACTGAAGGGAGCCTAAGGCAGAAAATGCTCCCGGGATCTCACCTCTAAGATAATCTAACCTATAAGTAGAGGAGCTTACTTAGTATTACTACTTAGTGACTAACTGTAAGATATAGGGCAAGACGCCTAAACTGTCATGCAGCATATCAAGGCCTATACAAGATGGCTGAATCTCTATAAGCTTTATGCTATACCATCATCACTACGGTCAATGACATCGTACAAGACTATCACTACGGTCAATGACATCAAGTGTTATGATATTTTGCACCATGAGGCTATTCCTATGTTGAGGCCTTAGGCTTCAGGCCTCCAAGGATCACCAACCATGATATATTGGTTCGGTGATCTACCATCACCCTTTCCTTGCTGTTCCTACGGAGGATAGTCATCCGCTTCCCTGTATGTCTACCCCTCCTTCGAAAGAGGGGCTTACTGTATATAAGGCCCAGCAGTAAACGGGGCAAAGGGGCCTTCTAAGAAACAGTCTCTGTTACAATCTGACTTAGTGCTTTGCTCTCCTACCTAGTTGACAGGCTTTCTACCCTGCAAGTAGACCATATTCTTACACTAGGACTATAAAGCGAGCGAGCTTAACGATCTTAGAGAGGATCAGAGAGAAGGAATCCGGGGTATACTAGCCTATACGAGATCGGCTAAGCACTATAAGCGCGTAGACGAGGGCATATTTATACTCGTCTGCCCTAATCCGCTAGTTTAGCAGCTCTAGACAAAAGTTTAGGTAGGCTTTCTTCATCGGCTAGAAGTGAAAGGGGGAGGATATAGTAGAATCAGTAGGGTTCGTACAAGTATCATTACTCTTATATAGATCCGGGGATTAGGACCGGATCGCTAGAGACTAGAGGGCCTACTATACCTTTCGTTAGCGGTAGTTAAACCGGTAGTAAGGGTATATAGGATAGAAGGGCTCTCCTAGGTACTACGTACGACCAAAGAAGCAGATAATCTATTACTACGGTGCAATATAGCGAGTAATAGTCTCTAAGTCTATATACGCCTAGAGCGGGGTATAGAGGGCCTAGTCTATCTTAGTTTGTACGACCTCGACCCGGATAAGGTAGCTATACCGTTTCGCGATCTACTACGCCGTACAAGCTATATTCGCTATAGCCTAGTAGATTACCTAGAATAGATCTAGGGGATCCTCCTCGGGTAGTTCGATCAAGGAGTAGAGGATCTCTAGGAGCTAGCCTACGAGATATTAAGACTACCGCGTACGACGGAGCTATAGTGTAGCCTCGTTAAGCTCTACTATCTCTACCGTACGATTAGAAGGTTAAAAGACCTACTAGTGTTGCTCTTCTAGCTAGTTAAAGAGATCATCGACGGTAGAAGATATTCGCTTAGGCTCTGCTAATTCTAATCGTACAGGGTCTATAATAGCAAAGTAGTAAGAGTAAGGCCCTCGGCGGTATAGACGTTAGCAGGTAATAGGACGGGTATACTACTTAAGGAGCTCTTGGGTAGAGGGAGTAGAAGAAGGAGAATTAGATATTTAAGAAGAAGATTAAGCAAGCTATTAATAACGAACTCGCTAGTATTCCTTTATCCCTTTCGCCGTACAATAAACATATCGATATAAGGGCGTACGCTAGCATTAAATACTATCTTAGAAAAGAGGAAGAATATTAAAAGGTAGGGGCTAATCAGGGATAAGGTTATATTCAAAGGTAGATAATAACTAGGGCTAAAGAGTAGGAAGGTATTCGTGAATCTAGGTAGCCGTACGAGGGGAAAAGAGAATAAGGAGATAAGCGAAGATAGGCTATAACTTAACTAATTCGTACGGCTAATTAGCAGTAGTAGCAGACTAAAATAGGAAGAGAGGGAAGAGGAGTAAAAAGCTCTTGAGTAAGGGAGAGAATGCTAGTCTCTATATTTAAATATAAAAATTAGTGATAACTAGAAAGTACCATTCAGGGGTCGTACGAGAATAATAGCCTTAAAAAAAATTAAGTATAGGTCTAAATAAAAGAAGTGGGCCCTCCCGGTCGTACCCCATCAAAAAAGATTTAGAGTTTAGGCAATTTAGGGTTAAATCCTACGACTGCTATAAGTAACTGTCGGATTTTGCTGTAGGGCATAAATCTATTATGCGCACAGAAGACAGAATGTGCCACAATGGTGCAGGTATTGATTATGCGTACTAGTAAAAGCACAACAATCGTGTAGGGTCGATCGTGCGTACTAATCTTAGTACCACGATTATGGAAGAGAAGAGAGACGAATGAGGATAGGTCACAATCGACTGGTCAGACAGAAGAATCAAGCAGTGGAAGGTTGATTCAGATGGTCTACTATGTCCGGTGATTCTTCCTAGGATAAAAAGATGTCAAACTTGTTCATTCTAACTAGGAAACAGAGTGCAATTTATAACATGAGGAACATAGCAAATATCACATAAGGAAATCAAGAACATTCGAGGTCATTTTGGAGTATTGAACATTCCTTTGCCTAGTCGGGCAATATTAACACGATCGTTGAAGATCAGAATCTAGGATCAGAATCTAGGGGTAAACAAGATTGGGTTTTCCTATATGAGCAAGTGTAAGCGTATAGGAAGGATGATGGTATAGCAAACCTATAGATAGAGCTATATAGTATAGCTGGATCGTATAGAGAGGTTGATGGATTGAATAGCAGTAGGTAGGCTATCAAGAATAAATTCAGGACTTATATTAAGAACTATTTGCTAGGGACTTTAGGTCCTATTTATATTTGATAAATCCCCTAGTTTCGGTGGCAACTAGCAATATAGTGGTGATTTCATTATGATGATCTTGTTTTCCATAAGATTCTATGATATCATAGAATTCTTTATAGCTCTATCTATATCCGATATCCTAACGTAATTCCCGGCCGATCTGGACACCCGGCCGTCCTAGATACCCCATCGAAAATCGCGTCTTCCTACCTACCCACCAACTTCAACCACCTACCATGCCACCAATTCGCTCTGAATCTTCGCAGAAATCGGTCAATCAGGAGGGCAAAGTCTTATTAGCCCTTGATAGTATTAAAAATGGCCGCATCAAATCTATTCGCGCAGCAGCGAAGCTTTACGAAATCCCTCTATCAACACTACATACGCGTGCCCACGGCCAGATTCCACGCGCTGAGAAACGCCCGACCGGTCATAAACTGACCCAATTAGAAGAGGATTCGCTTACTACATGGATTCTCTCTATGGATTCGCGTGGAGCAGCCCCCCGGCCCGCTACCATACGAGAGATAGCTAATATCCTACTGGCTACGCGCGGTAGTAGCCCTCCGCCTACCGTTGGCAAGAACTGGCTATCAACCTTCGTTTCACGGCGTGATGAGCTTCGATCGCGCTTCTCGAGGCGATACGACTACCAGCGCGCATTAAACGAAGACCCGAAGACCCTACGAGCCTGGTTTACTACCGTACAAAGCGTGATTAACGAGAACGGTATACAATCGGAGGATATCTACAACTTTAATGAGACAGGCTTTGCAATAGGCCTTATATCTTCGCAGAAGGTAGTGACCAGGGCTGAATACTACGGTCGGAGATCTCTTCTATAACCAGGAAATCGCGAATAGGTTACTACTATCGAAGCTATATACGTAGACGGCTATATACTACCGCCGTGCGTAATCTTTAAGGGCAAAGTAGCTATTGCAGGGTGGTTTAACGATAACCTACCGAGAGATTGGCGAATCGAGGTCTCTGCGAATAGCTGGACTACCGATGAGATTAGCCTACGCTAGCTAGAAAAGCACTTTATCCTATATACGAATTCGCGTATACGCGGTCGATTTCGGCTACTAATTCTTGACGGCTATAGTAGCTACCTTACACCCCTATTCGACTAGAAGTGCGCAGAAAACGATATTATACCGCTATATATACCTTCGTATTCATCATATCTACTACAACCGCTAGATGTTGGCTGCTTTGCTCTATTAAAGAAGGCGTACGGCCGTTTCGTTAGCGATCTTGCGCGCCGAGGATATAACCATATCGATAAACACGATTTCTTAGTAGACTACCAACGCGCGCGGCTAGAAGCCTTTTAGTCGGCTACTATCCAAAACAGCTTCGCAGCTACTGGTCTAGTACCAGTAGATATAGAGAGAGTGCTAAATAAGCTTAATATCTCTCTACGCACTCCGTCACTACTAATCAACCGGCCAAGCAGCAGATCTAGCGAATTCGTACCAGAAACGCCTAGAACTATCGCTCAGCTACGCAAACAATCTAGTAAGATGATTGATCTACTAGATCGGCTGTCACAAAGCCCTCGAAGCCCATTAAAATCGGTAGTACATCGAGTCATCAAGGGCCACTACCTTACGCTACATAGCCTCGCATTGCTTATGCAGGATAACGAGAATCTACGCATGGCCAATGAGAAGATCGTCAAGAAGCGCAGTCGGTCAACTAAGCACCTACCCTGCGAAGAGGGTTTGACCATTGAAGAAGCCCTACAGCTAGCTGCGCAGCTAGATTTGCCGGTAGAAGAAGATGTGGTGGAATCGCATGCGGAGGTCGAATTGCCTAGTCAGCCAACTAGGTCAGCAGCCAGGGCTCCGGCTAGGTGTAGTGGGTGTAGGGAGATTGGCCATAGGATCAATACATGTAAAAATCGGTATATGTCCAGGACGGCCGGGTGTCCAGATCGGCCGGGAATTACGTTAGCGGTAAGCAAGATAGGAATGCTTAGTAAGCAGGCAGGATTCAAGATGCATATCTGGCCCATAGGCCATACATGCCGACAGTAACTATAGAAGCTAAGAATAAAACCGGATATAGAATATATATTAACTTAGAACTTCTAAAATTTTCAAGGAAATCGTACGAAGAAAAGTGCTTGCAGTCTGGGTAGGAAAAGAGGGTACAGTCTAGGTAGTAGGGCGAATTCTACCCATACATAAGAGCTCTACACCGCCATACAGTCTACCTGACTGCACCAGGTCCCTTGGGTTAGGTCCCTTGGGTTAGGGATAAAACTTGGGTTTCAGGCGGTGCCAGAGTTGACCAATCAGGGGGTTTAACTTGGGAAACCCGCTGGAATCCCTATCGGAGAGTCCACACCATGAAAGAATACAACGTAGCAGGCCGATGTGAACGAGCCCCGACGATTAGAGGATAGAGGAGCAACGCTAGGTGCCGTGGCGTTTATTTTTTGAGAAAGGTTCAATCTACCTTTCGAGAAGCTTTTAAACTCGCTCAGTTCTAGGACCTTTCTCGTATGGTTTGGTAGGTTTTAGGACCGACCACATGGTCATCTCGCGAGGATCATAAACGGCACACATCAGCATAATCTGTCTCCCCTTACTCAGTACGGGAAGCTAATTATAAAAGCAGTTCCTGTGAGATATATAAATACTATTCTAGTTCTTTAGCACCTTTGGTACGGTTTCTATGCATCAAAACAAACCGCAAAATGAAGTTCAAAATGAAATCTAAAACCCGTCTATCTAACCAGCCATCCTCAACCCCCTAAAAATCAGTACCTAATTGCAAGTCAGTTCCCACCCTCTTCCTATCTCTAAACCCTCGTATCAATCGGCTGCAGCCCCTTTCCCATCCGTCCAATCTGCCCTCCATAGTACGCGCCTTCGGCTCCAGCCCCCAGCGACTTGATCGGCACCTTCCTCATCAGCCAGCCCATCTCCACGTGCTTGAGCCGGATCGTTGCATCCGCATCAACGACCTCCTTGTTGAGTAGGACAAGTTTCGGCAACTTCGGCACCACCGCCGCAGGGCGCCCGATTCCGATGATGTCGCATGCGCCGCTCTCGAGCGCCGCTTCCATACCGACACGGCTGCGAAAGCCGCCCGTCACCATAAGGGGGATCTTAGGGTAGTATTCCCGCACCGTCTTGGCGAAGTCGAGGAAGAACGCCTCTCGCGCTCTTGTGCTTGCCTTTGGTATGCGTGCCGGGGCCGCGGGCGCGGCCGTGGATCCGATAACCGGTGCGGTTCGGTCCGCCTGAAACATGGAAGGGTCCTCGTATGAGCCGCCACTGATCTCGATGAAGTCGACGCCCGCGTTAATGATGAGGCCCATCTGTTCAAGGCAAGCCTGGAGACCGCCGTCACCCTGCTCGCTGACATCGACGCTGTTCATCTTGATGCCGACGCAGAACTGCGGGCTTGTGGCCGCACGGATGCCCTTTATGATGCGCAGGACCATCTCAGCGCGCTTAGCGGGGGTCCCACCGAACTCGTCGGTGCGCAGGTTCGTCTTGGGCGACAGGAACTGAGCGATCAGGTAGCCGTGCGCGCCGTGTAACTCAATGCCCTTGAAGCCCGCAAGGTGGGCTTGCTTGGCGCCGGCGATGAACTGTTGGATAGCCTCGGTGACCTCGGCACGCGTCATTTCACGGGGCGTCCCGAACATCACGGAGGTAGCAACGCGAGGAATGAAGCTGGATCCCAAATTTAGGGCAACAGCGGAGGGAGCGAGATTCTTGGTTAGGATAGAGCGCTTCCCAGCGCCTTGGGGGGATTGGCGGCCGGGGTGGCAGAGCTGAACGAGAGCTGGCGTTCCGCTTCGTTGGATTGTTGTGGCCCAATTGCGCCAAGCCTCCTGGAGGGCCGGGGTGCCTGCATTTGGGAGGGGGATGGCGACGTCTTTGGGTGAGCCAAGATACGTTTGGGATACCTGGACATTGCCTATGGTTGGAGGAGATGTCAGAATGGTGGCAGAATGAAGGTTTTGTCGGCGAAACTGAGCAGAGAAGTCAGATGATGCTGAGGATGGCTAACCTGTGATAATGAAACCCCAGCCCCCATCAGCCCATTCCGAGTATGCCCGTGGGAATTTATCATCTGGATTTTGCTTAGGTGCCATGATCTCTGCCATTGCCGCCTGCGACGACAATCAGTACCCATATTACGTTATAAAAACGATGTAAAAACAGACATCAATGAAGCTTACCTTTGTGAGCCTGTTGGGAAGTTCCAGGCCGCACCGCAGCGTTAGGGGACTGGATAATAACGACATTGTGTCGAGAGGAATAGAATATTGAAGAAACACAAATATCGAGACTTCTAGTACTTATATCTTATTCTTATGGCTCCAACCTAAAATTTGCCCCCAAAAAAGAACCCCGGCGCCCGGAACGGGTTAGTCATCGGCATTTCCCCCGGAGAGATTGATCTCCCCGTCTGAGGATAGGCTATAGCATTTGATCAGAGAATCTGGGCTTTGACAAAGTGCGCCTGCTACTCTTAATTATCAGCTAGCTTGATGGTAGGCCGCATGTTGTGGAGTCATGCCATCGAAGGGCTCCACTTCCCTGAGGAGTTTTCTGTGGGTCCGGGAAGTCGGGTTCCCGGGGAGTTGGGTTCATCCGTTTGCCACTGTGATTTTCCCAGTTGATGGACCCTGGATTGTCTAGTTGTATTTGCCAGATTATGAAGATAACTATTTTAGTTATGTAGAGCTTGGAAGGGAAGGTATTGCGATCAGGAGAAATCGGGCTTGTGTACCTTGTTTGCCAAACAGTCATAGATCTGGACCGAGGAACGGATCAACGGACGAAGTAGACAGACAGGCCAGCTTATACAATTATATTGTAAACTACTAGCGTGTCGAACTGAGCGGTGATATTTTACCGCTAAAGGATAGGATGATTCAACGCCCACCCAGTCTCCCTACTGCTTTGTAGTAAACCGTATCCATTCGGAATACCGGGATGTGAAATATCAACACTGGCAGCCCCTTGGGCTATGAGACCCCTCTCAACAGTGGCCTCTCAGATAGTTCTTCAATCAATTAGTCAATCCTGTCAATTGGTTCCCTCAGCACTAGTGCATACGGATATCCTGCGATCCGACATAATCAATTCGGTCAAAAATACAACGTAATTTACTGAAATAGAATAGTTAAAATAATCATCGTAGCTATTCCAAATTCCAGTATACAACTATTAGTATAGTTAATAATCATCCTTCTAAATCTCAAAAATAAGAATGAAGTCGTGGTGGTTGATATATAAGACTACAAATATCGCCTTTAATGTGGTGTTTTGGTGTGGGTCACTCTCCCGTGGATTACATTACAGACCTTTTTAAGGTTACAAACTGTGGAACCGACAAACAGAACAAACTCGGGCCTCGGATCGATGCTTACCACTTGATTTCTCAGCGTTCGTTCTGCGTTACTGCACAATTTTTCTCAATTATTAATCTGCACAGACGATCCACTCTTCTCATTGGGAGATCTCAGCCACGGCAGGAAGTTACTGTGGATAGCAGTTCAACATGGAACGCAGTGGAAGAAAAAGGTTAAATCGGCATTGCATTTGCCGGCTCGGAGACCTTTCAGGCCTGTTTTATCCACGTTATTCGACCATTCGTAATGCTTGAATTTGATCATTGCTAACTTTAAATGAAAAATGGCCCATTAGAAATCATCCCCTGTGGATCTGCTCCCAACCACATATCGCCCTAAAATGGTATCCGGAAACGCCCTCTTCCGATATCCGAACGGGCAGCGCACTTGCAAAAGGCGTAATCACAATTGCGACACTTTACCTTCGCGTCTCTTTCTGTATAAAAGACTAAGGGACAAGGACTATATAATAACTACAGTCGTGGTTCTCTTCCTCAATAGCATACTTCATTCAAATCCATCACTTCAATTGGGCCTGCAATTGATTCTCCAGTTCTCCTATAACTGTTCCATAACACATACAGACTGTATAATTTCCATCTCGGACAGCCACCACCACCACACAGTCTACAATGACCAAGCTTTTCACCCCTCTTCGCGTCGGGCGCATGGAGCTCTCCAACCGCATCGCAATGGCACCCATGACTCGCTTCCGCGTTGCCGATGACCACGTCCCTCTTCCCCTCGTCAAGGAGCACTACGCCCAGCGCGGCTCCACGCCAGGGACCCTCCTCATCACCGAAGGAACCCTAATCACCCCCCAAGCCGGCCTCTACCCCAACGTTCCCGGCATCTGGAACGACGCCCAGATCGCCGCTTGGAAGGAAGTCACCGACGCCGTCCACGCCAAGGGCTCCTACATCTATATGCAGCTATGGGCGCTGGGCCGCGCCGGAAGCGCAGACCTCCTCAAGGCTTCTGGCTTTGACCTTGTCTCTGCCAGTGATATTCCTATGTCTAGCGAAGCGCCTGCTCCGCGCCCGCTGACTGAAGAAGAGATTCAGTCTTATATTCAGGACTATGCGCAGGCTGCACGCAATGCCGTCGCCGCGGGCTTCGACGGTGTCGAGATCCACGGTGCCAATGGCTACCTGATTGACCAATTCATTCAAGACGTCAGCAACAAGCGCACCGACCGCTGGGGCGGCAGCGTCGAGAACCGCGCCCGCTTCGCGATCGAAATCACCCGGGCCGTGTCCGATGCCATCGGCGCAGACCGCACGGCCATCCGCTTCAGTCCCTACAGCACCTTCCAGGGAATGAGAATGGAGAACCTGCACCCACAATTCTCGTATCTGGCGCGCGAACTGGCCCCACTGAAGCTGGCGTACACGCACTTGATCGAGGGCCGCGTTGCTGGTTATGCGGATATCGAGTCTGCCGATGATCTCCTGTTCTTCGTGGATGCGTACCGGGGTGCGGGCCCCGTCGTGATTGCTGGTGGGTATCAGCCTGAGTCGGCCAAGGAGGCGGTTGATCAGAAGTACAAGGATCATGATGTGGTTATTGGATTTGGTCGGCCGTTTACGTCGAATCCGGATCTGGCGTTCCGTATTAAGGAGAATGTGCCTCTTGTGCCGCATAAACGCGAGGTGCTGTATCTTCCGAAGGATCCTAAGGGATATAACGACTGGCAGTTTAGTGCTGAGTATAAGAAGGCTGTTGAGACTGCGGCTTAATTGGGATTGGATATAGAGGGACAGCCTTTCACACTTGAAATGCTCTGGAATATGTACAAGTCCTCCCTTGTAGTAAGGCTTACTCTTGCTCTCAGCTGTAACCTGTGTTGGACACTTCATTGGATCTGACAACCTACAACTTGTCCTATAGCCACAGTCAGAAAATCATCCCTTATCAGAGAATTGCAAAGATTGTGATCTACTTACCCGAAACTCTCGATTCTCCTGATCTGTCAGATCCAAAAACTCCGAGTTCTGTACATGCGTGTCGCCCTCATGTCATCGATCCCTCCGCCGGTTTTCCCAACCATAATAACCCCTCAAGAGCAGCACAAAGACAATAGCCACCGAGATAGTAGCAACGAGCGCAATCTTCGTGGGAATATAATCAGGCTCATCCTGACGGACCACGGTTTTGGGTAGACTTACAACATTGCTGTGTCCCAGGACTGGTCATGGTTTCCCGGTAGACTTGCAAGATATAGGGCTTAGTCGGTTCCACCTAAGGGCCAGTTCTATACCGGAGAGCACCAAAGATTGCAACTTATTACTATATCTACCTTGAACTCGAACTAATGAATTGTAGCTCTATAATTTAGGTTACTTCCCCAAATTTACATACATAGAAGTAATTCATTTATCCCCTAGAGAGAATCTCGAGAACTTATTAGATTACGTCTGTAGTTGCTGCTTTGCCAGCCTACAATATTCCCTTAACTTAGCTCAATGTTCCTATGACTTGATTAGTCCCCCTCTCTAGAGCCTAGAATCCTCCCTTTGCTAGGGCCGGTTAAAATTCTATTTCATAAAAATTAATCTTTTGCTTTTCCTTCAAAGCGAGATATCGACACGTGTCTCGTGTTTATAGGTCGGCAGAAACTAAACCTTAGATAAGAGTCTTTCTATAAAGGATCTTCCTAATAGAGTATTGATCCTTACCTACGAGGAGAACTTTGTTTAGGTATAATTCTACTTTATTTTTTATAATATCTTTCAGATTAGGCTTTCCGTAGAACTTAAGACTACGCCTTCCGCTTTTATTCACAAAATCCACGTTCCCTTTCGTAGAATAGCCTTTTGGAGGGCTAGGGTTAACAAACAAAGCCTAACGGAGTACCTTATCTATATTAGTATAGGCTCCTTAACAAGTTAAGAGAGCTATAACTCACTAACTCCGGCTTATCTAAGTCGAGTAATTAATTTATATAGTTACAAACCTATTTGTTATAGGCTAAGTATTAGTTTAGTTATAATTCTATTTTAAGCTATACTGTAGAACTATACCTTGTTAGTTAACTTGCTATACTAGGCAGACTCTTCTTAAGCAATAACCACGATCCTTTCGTATAATTAGCTCCTTTATGTAAGCAAGCTATACTAAGATTCTAATACCGGTAGTAACGAAGACGAAGCTATTATAGTGATCTATATCTTTCGGTTTACCGTATAGACTATTAAGAAGAATCCGTAAAGAATTATATAGATAGGACTCTAGTCGCCTAGTAAATCCTAATTCAACTTTAGTAAGCACTATTATACGGCTAGCTTTCCTATCTATCGTGTTTTCCTCCTACTAAAGAATATTTAGCGGATATAACTCCGCGAACGAAAGAAGGCGAATAGCAGGGATCCTTAAATAGATATATTAACCCGGACGAACCTTCTAAGGACGAGTAGGAGTAAACGATAAAAGTATAGCCCCTTCTAGTTTCTCTTTTTCTACTATAGCTAGACCACGTCTATTACGATAGATTGTGAGCAAGCGATGATGCGCAGGTTAGGTAGAGAGGAAGGAAGATTAATTGATCTTCTTCCTTTGATTGAATAGGAAGGATAAAATCAATTCGGCTTAGAATCATAAGAGTAAGAGAAAAGTGAGGTAGGACTGAAGCTTGGTTGATTGTATTGAATCTTGCTTTTTTTTGTGTTAAACATAATTATTATCTTGGTAGAGAAAGCAGGGTATATTTATAATTAACTTGTCTCTTGCATATGATCGTTCTAGATGATGCATGATGATCTCATGTAGACAGATCTAGATACATAGTGATCTTATGCAGTAGCTGTTTGATCGGTGGTTGCTTGATTGTACGATGTCATTGACTGTAGTGATGAGTTATTAACCGTAGTGATGATATAGATCGTATACTGTTGTATACGTCTTACTTGATGTTATTGACCGTAGTGATAATGGTATAGCATAAAGCTTATAGAGATTCAGCCATCTTGTATAGGCCTTATGAATCTAGCTTGATATACTACATAACGGTTTAGGTATCTTGCCCTATATCTCATACCCCCCCGTAATCTTTATACTATAGTGCAGATAGTAGTAGAGTATAGAGATTAGTATAGAGTAGATAGGATTGATATATATATATACTACTATAAGATAGCTAGATATATATCTTCCTAAATCTCGATCTCTCGGAGGTTAGCTAGATTCTTTAAGTCTTCAAATATTTCTCTTCTAACGTTTTTTGTTAGGAAATCTGCTAATTGCAGTTTAGTAGGGACGTATTAAACATCGACCCTTTCTTGTTTGACCTGATCTCTAATATAGTAATATTGTATATTAATATGCTTCGTCCTTTTATGAAATTCAGGGTTTTCGGCTAGCTTAATAGCTGCCTTATTATCTACTAATATAGTAGGCTTGCTAGGCGTATAGCCTAGGCCTAATCTATCGTTTAGATAGTTAAATAGGTTAGCTAGATAGATAGCTTCCCGTATAGCTTCTTTTATAGCTATATATTCGGCCTCGCAGGTAGATAGGGCTACTAATTTTTGTAGTATCGAATTCTAGCTTACTATATTATTAGTAGCTAGATCTCTAGATAGGCTAAATATATAGCTAGTAGTGGATTTTCTACTATTAATATCGCCTGACTAATTAGTATTAGAGTAGCCTTTTATATATAGGTTATTCCCTATACAATCGTAGTGTAGGCCTAGATTTAGCCGATATTATAGATATTATATCAACTTATGTGGGATCTCCCCGCATGATGACTAAGCCGCCACAATCTTTTCCCTGGAAGAAAAACCATGTCTACCACATTGATTTATATTGATCCTCAACGATCTCGCATTGAACTGCCTATATTGGCCGGAGACTACTCAACACTCCAAGATAACCTCGGATGTTCTTGATTTCTTCATGTGATATTTACTATGTACCTCGAGTTATAAATTCTGCCTATTTCCTTAGTTAAATGGAACAAGTTTGACATCTTTTTTATCTAAGGAAGAATTACCGGGTATAGTAGACCATCTGAATCAACCTTCCACTACTTGATTCTTCTGTCTAATCAGCCGATTGTGATCTATCCTGTTTCGTCTCTCTTCTATAATCGTGGCACTAAGATTAGTGCGTACGATCGATTCCTACCACGGTTTTATGCACTATACGCAATTCTAATAGTTATAAGCCCGAGCCTCTGCTAAGGACTCTATTCTTTACTTTCATCTTATCTATCTTTCACTTTCGTCTTAGAAATAATGGATTCATCCGATCTGCGAGCTACCTGGCTTAATTACCCTCTCAAATGCCACGTATATTAGGTCCCTTAGATCACTATAGTTAAAGATTATATACTAGCAAATAGTATATAGAAATACGTTGATCTAGACCTACCTACTCCTACTATACCGCTATAGGAACTAACTAAGCTATATCTATCTGATATGATCAAAAAACCTGCTAATACCTTTATATCTGATCTTCCTAACGAGCTAATTAGACTTATTGATCTTATATCCGATCAGTTAGCTATCTATAGGATCCTACTTAGCGAATATAAGTTAGTAAGATCTGACTACCTACGTTATATACGATCTATCGAGATCTTGAAGCAAGGAATTAGATCCTCTCTTACGCTAGAAGGGAGATAGATTGTTAATAGCTTAATAGTGTACGAAGCGATTACTAAGCTACGCGCTATATTCGCCCTATTAGACTAATCAAAGAACTACTAAATCCTACGCGACTAGGATACGATCAAACGACAAACACCGCTATCTAAATCGTCTTATCTTGCTTAATAGGGCTAGAAATAGGTGATTAGCTAATTAGAAGGTAAGTATCGGATATAGATAGAATCATAAAGAATTCTATGATAGTCCATATGATATCATAGAATCTTATGGAAAACAAGATCATCATAATGAAATCACCACTATGTCGCTAGTTGCCACCGAAAACAGGGATCTATCAAATATAAATAGGACCTAAAGTCCCTGCCAGATAGTTCTTAATCCAAGTCCTGAATTTATTCTTGACAGCCTACCTACTACTATTCAATCTATCAACCTCTCTATACGATCTAGCTATACTATATAGCTCTATCTATAGGTTTGCTATACAATTATCCTTCCTATACGTTTACACTTGCTCATAGGTTATGAGCCCGAGTGTTATATACTTATATTTATTATATAAGATATACCTTGGGCGATCTAATAACACCCTGATCTACCTTCCTGATTAGGAAGACAACATTACCGATTTATATCCGTATATCCGGATTATATATCCGTATACCCGAATTATATATCCGTGTATCCGAAATCTGAATACTCTCTTGATGCTCAACAGAACCAGAAGGCTATTATAGCTACTATCTGCCAATCTGATCAAACTAGCCAATCTAGTCAATCTAGCAACTAATCTGATCAATCTCAGCAAACCGGCCAATCTAGCTTAGATAGCATCAAAAGCCCTCTTGATTTTGATGATATTGATATTGATATGAAATCGCCTGAGGTAAATACTACTGTGATCTTGGTAGAGCATGTTTTGTTATATTCGTAAGGAAATGGGTCTAAATGAGTGTAATCCGGTAGATACCGGCAGAATTCTGGGTGCCCGGGCCGTACGGATGATGTAATCAGGCCACACGTGGCCGTTAGGATCACATCCTCCCCTACCAGACGGAAGCTCGCCCACGAGCTTTTCCCTTACCCTAAAGGGCCCGGTAGCTTGCGAATGTAGCTACCCG